TTCTATAAAATATTGGTTTTAAAAATTTGCGTATTTTTCGCATATCTCAGCAGGTAATTGGTTAAGATAATTACATATTACTTTTAAAAAACCATATTTTATATATGTAAATGCTGATGCTAACTACAAAATGTGTCTCTGTACTCTAATTATAGTTACAAATATTCGCGCTTGTCAGCAAAAAGAACTTAGGAACCTGGAAAGTGACTTGTAACAGCTAATGTATATTAATTTAAAGATTACGATGTGATACCAATTATAAATATATACCATATAAGTACAAGCTTTTGAACAAAGCTGGCTTGACATCTCGGTTTGAGTATGTACATGTGATAAAAACTACAAATATATATATATATATGTACATTACATGCAGACTTTGAGCGCTAAAGCTACACAGACCACACCTACATGCAATTTATTGCAGCGACTGAGCACACTCAGAGTTAAGCATGGCTTGGAACAGCTGTGCCGTGTACCAAATTTATTATGAAAACTAAAAGGCGAACAGCAATATACACAAACACATATGTATATAAAATACTTATATATAATATGCAATCTCGTATATATAAAAAAACAGTACAAAACGAGACATTTTTTATGTGCCTATGTGTCTGTCTATGTTTTGTGCGCCGCGTGGGTTGAGCCGGAAAAGTTGCGATTTTGTTCACTTTAAAGCATTTTGTGCAACTCAGATTTTTCACACACAACAAGCACATTCACCACACGAATTCCCAATATTTATTTTGTTGTTGCTATTGTATATAGCTTTAACTTTAACGTTTTGTGTTCTTACAATATCGTGTCTATGCCAGTCACACCTGCTATTTTTTCGCTTTGGCGTGTAAATTCAATCAAAATTCCGAATTATTATTATTATTTTTTTTTTTAATTTATAATTTGTTTTTTAATATTAGCCAATAATAGCATAAGCCATTGTTAAGCAAGTATACGCTTAACTACTTATAAAAAATTAAATAAATATGTACAAAGCACAGGAAATTACACGCATATAATCTGCACTTGCCACATGCATATAAACATATACACATACATATATGCATATATACTTTATATAAATATTTATTTATAACCATCCAATTGTGCTCATAAAAGCAATTGAGCATTATATTGCAAAAGCCAATTGCCAATCACGGTGTTTATTAAGTTCTTTGCAAGTCAATTTCCTTCAGCGCATTCTTTCCTACTCATTTAGCCGTACATAGTACTAGTTGGTTGCTAATTTATGCCACTTACTTGGCTAATAGCGATTGCGTGGCTATTGGCATATTTAATATTTTATTGTTATGTTGCACAGATACATGCTCACATATGTTTACATTAGCAACACATAGGTAACTCTCGCACATACATAAAATACATATTTATAATAATTATATATAATAAACATATATATAAATAATTTTACACTCCATACTACAATATATAATTTTCCTACGTCAGCATAAATGAATGCAGTTGCTTTCAAGGCTGTCTCTTATACACATCTAGATGTGTATAAGAGACAGGGTAACTCTCGCACATACATAAAATACATATTTATAATAATTATATATAATAAACATATATATAAATAATTTTACACTCCATACTACAATATATAATTTTCCTACGTCAGCATAAATGAATGCAGTTGCTTTCAAGGTCACTACTTTTTACTGCCTTACAACTTTATCCGCCAAGCTTGGGCTGTTTGTTTTCCATTACATATTAGTTGTGATTTACTGCTTTGGATATGTCTGCGGCAATGCTTGAATACATTAATCATATTGGTAATTGTTATATTATATGTAGGCTTCTAAGTACTTTTTGTTATTGCACAGTATTACGTTTTAAGTCAACTACATTGCGGTGGAGATAGACGTATGAAAGTACACATATACATGTGTTCATAACGGGTGATCCAAGCAGAGGTACCTTTTTCAAAAGCCTT